AGAGGTTGGGAGGAAAAGACATAGGTTGAAAAATAGAGGTTACAACAGTTCATGTAGTGACCATTCAAAGTTACAAGGGCACTGAAAAAAAGTGACTCAGGGCCGTTTTTCATAGTTACGACCGTTGCAGTTATCCCCAATAACCATGTGATCAAAATTAAAATGCTTGGCCACTGGTTCATGTTTATGACCATTGCTGGGTCCTCGGGGAGTCACGTGACCCCCCCCTTTTGCGACTTTCTGACAAAGTCAAGGGGGAAGCCAGATTCACTTAACAACCAGGGTTACTAGCAAATCAACTGCAGTGATTCGCTTAGCAACTTTGGCAAGGGAGACCGTAAAATGGGGGCAAACCTCGCTTTCACAAATGTCTCTCACTTGAAACACAGAAACGTCGGGCTCCGTTGTGGTCGTAAGTCGAGGACTGCCTGTACTTGGAACTAAGGAGTAGGGGGCACAGCACTGAGGCAGCCTGGTTTTGATCCAAGGACCTTTTCCTCTGAAACTACAAGTCCCAGCAACCTCCATTCTTCTCAGCCTCTACCCACCACCACACGCATTGGCTGGGAAAAGAGCGGGGGAGGCGGCCCGCAACGGGAGCCAGCGCGAACTGGAAAGCCCCCTTTGCGAAAAAAAGGCCTCTGTGGAAATCGCAGTTCCCTCAAACATGGAAGCCTCACAGTTGGAGAAGGGTGCCTTATTCCGTCCTGCGTGGGGTCGGGGAGCGCGCGAAAGAAAGGCCCATACGCGCAATCGAGACTCGGCAGAGTCACCGCAGCCTCCGCGTGAGGGCCCGGCCTTCCCTCACCGGCACCCACTCGTCCTCCAACCGTCGGACTCACCGTTGGCGCGAAGCCTAGGCAGGACAGGAAAGAATCGGTTGCGACTGGGCCGCAAGAGGACCTTGGGCAAGCTCCCGGCTGAGGCCTCCACTCTCCTCGCTGTCAACAAAATGGCGGCGCCCTCTTTTCCCTCAGCAACTGCGGACCGAAGCCGCGGTCCCAGAACGAGCCACACCAAGTCGCTTAGAGGGGGGACGCCGTGTCACCTGTCACGGAAGGCTTTTTACCTTTTAAGGGAAAAATTATGCTCCGGAGGGCGCATAGTTCAAAATTCTTTTAGTATTATTTCCATTTCGAAGTTTCTCATATTCTCTTTCCTCGCAAAAGGAGGTAATTTGAAGTCTACGGCACAGTCACCCCCCTTATAGAAACCCAAGAGTGGTATGGCTCACTCGGCCGTGTCATGCGCATGCGTTACAAGAACTATGTGAAGTTACAGAGGAGAGGTATCAGAAGCTCGTTTCAATAGCGTTTGTTACTTTTGCGCATGTGGAAGAGGCGGGACCTGGAGACCATGAGCGGGAAAAGGGCGGGAAAAGTCTCAGGCGGTGGCAAGCGTTGCGCATGCGCGTTCCCAGAAGAGCTAAATACTTTGAATTTCATTTGTGTCCCTCTTTAAGTTTTTGCGCTGCTGTTTTTACAAAAGGTGCCCCTACAAAAAAAAAAAATAAACTTCTTAATTCCAGAGTTCCTTCTGAAATGCCGGTGTAGACTACCGAGGTTGACTTTGCAACGAAATTCTGAGCTATAAAGGCAGGTTTTGCAACTAGACTCCTTTTTTCTCATCAGTAATTTTTGCAGAATTTTGCATTTAATATTTTAACATTTTAGAGGGGTTGAAACTCGCTCTGGGTCGTTCCTACAACCATTGTAGAAGCTTTATTTCTAATTTAAAATACTGCACCTGATGCATAAAAAGCTAAACAAAAAGCCACATAGTAAATGGAAATGTACTGTATATGCCCAAGAGTTACCAGAGCGAGCCAGAAAGAAACCCGCAGAATAAGTTGTGTACAAATAAAAATACCCTGTTTTTCTTTCATTTCTTTAAAATACATTTTGTGTATTGCATTTTCAAGTATTTTTCCCAGGCTGAGAAAGTAGCAAAGAAAAAAAGTGGAACAATTTTACCATAAGGAAAGCTATTTTCTTACCACTTGAGGTGGCAGTTTTTAAAAGTTAAATACTATATAACTTGCAGTCTGGTTTAACCTCTCTCTTTATGGCCACATCCAGGATCTAAAATTAATTCATTTTTCTAACAAGGAATGTGCTACATTGTGGCTAAGCCAAGATATTTTGGTGGCCATGTGCTGAATAACCCAAAACTTTAGCATGACTGAACTATAAACCATGGTTCGCAAACTGTAATAGCTGGTTTCACGTATAAAACCAACCCAGCAGCCACATTGCGACTTTCCATGATGGGTTAGTACAGTGTTGGAGTGATGTATAAAATACAGGCAAATGGGGCCTGGTAATCAAACCATGGTTTGATGTGTATGTGTGAATCAAATTAGGAGGTGAAACAAACCTCCAAGATCAGGTAGAGGAGAATATATTTAAGATATTACAAATGTCTTAGAAATATTCAAGAGCAGGCCTAAAATTTGGTTTTTGGTTTTCGGTTTTCTAAACTATTTCCACCTGTTTTGGACAGCATAGTTGTGCCTTATAACTTTGTACAAGACTTATCTTACTGAAGATTTTCTCGGTCTGAAAGTAAGTTCATCCAAGTTAAAGTTAATATAGTTAAACAGGAAGAGCAACCACAGCTCTTGAAATGTCTATCAAACATTTGACTGGCATAACTTGAAATATTATTCTTCGTTCATGCCAACCATTCTTTTGAAATTGACATTTATAGTTAGAAGGTAGAGGTACAGTTTTAATATTCTTCCTATTAAATCTCCTTTCCTTTTAGTTGTAAGAAATTTCTATATAGTCTATTTGTCTTCTAACTGTCATTTGATTCCCCCATTTAGGGCTAGTCAAACTGGGCGTCTTTCTTATCATGTATCTGATAAGAGAAATTTCAGGGCTCTTCTGCAAAAAAAAAATTCCTGTTGGCAACATACAATCCTACCTGGAGATGGATGAACCAAATGCAGGTGAGAACTTAGTTCTACCGCTTGTCTCTAAAAAGATATGTGGATTATTTGTTTAGTTTCTGAAGTTGTAAAATGTCACTAATGGTTGCAATTATATTTGACTTCCAGTTTATTTTGATTACTTTTCTCCTTAGTTAACAGGTTGCAGAAACAATTCTGGTACAAACACAAGTGGTCTGAAGACAAAGAAAAGAGGCTCCACACAGGTAAGTACTTGAATACTATGAATATTTACACTTCATTTTGTTCCAGCTAAAAAAATAAATAAATGAAATATTGTTATTAGCCACATAAGTTTTCTGGGCTGCTGACTTGCACACACTGCAGAAAAATAATTGTTTTAGTCATTTGAAATTCTGGTATAATAATCCTACTTCCTTCCCTTGTTTCTTCACCAAATGCAGTTTTAAGCCACACAATAATAAAAAAAAATAATATTTATTTTGGCATAACAGCTCAGTTGGACACATTGATCTTTAAGTATTCCTATGCCATGACAGTTTAGCAAATGCCCTCTAGAATGTAAATCTGCAGCTACTAAACATGTTTCCCATGACGGTTTTAAGATGTGTAGACTTCAACTCCCAGAATCCCCTGCTGGCTGGGGAACTCCAGGAGTTGAAGTCTGCACATCTTAAAGTTGTCTAGGATGAGCAAAACTGCGCTAAATAGTGCAGGAGAAAAGCTTCTGCACTGTGTCTCCTTACTGCCACTTAGTGGCTGATGTAGTCAATTAGCCTCAGCCTACTTCCGCCTGCTGTTTTGTTACGCTTAATGAAAATGCTTAAGTTCCTCTGTGTATATTTGCTGGCCTTGCATCATACTGTACCAACCTAGTTCTTCCAAAAATGGAAAGGCCATCTGGATTCCTTATGCCTCTGGCTCCAAAAGCAACTTAACATACCTGCATTTAGTGCATATCACTAAATCAAATTATGTATATCATTAAATCAAGTTTATTGCATGTATATCACTAAATCAGTGTTCCATAATTTTCTGAAAATACTTTAAAAAGATGGCTTGCTTCCATCTAGAATTCCATAGTTCTATAGAAGCTATGGCCTTTGGACATTTCAATTCATTTTTTGTGTGTCCATCCAAGTTTTTATTTATATATAAACTTTTTGAATGCAATGTATTGTCCGGGCATATCATTTTACCAAAGAAAAGATTTTTTTAAAAAGAGATAGTAACATATATGCTAATAACAATAGTAGTGGTACAACAGAATGATTTTGCCCAAAGTTGCGTTAGCGTATTTATAATCCTATTGATTATATTGGCATACTTATAGTTATAAACCATGTTTATATTTAATTTATACATAGCAATAATCTTTCTTCATCTAATTTCTACCTCTTATCTCTAACCACTCATAAAATCTATTCCACGTTAAGTAATATTCTGTATGTCCTTTATCTGTTACTGTCAATGTCAATCTATCCATCTCTGCACAGTCCAATATTTTCCAAATTATATCTTCATCTGATGGAGTGTTCTCGTTTTTCCAATATTGTGCAATTCTCGCTGCTGTCAATACATGTAACATTAAGTACACCGTCCCTTTATCATAACTTTCTGGTATTATACCTAACAAAAATATTTCTGGTTTCAAATCTGTCTCAAATAGATTTGAGGACATTTCAGTTCAAAATGGCCAAGTTGGACTGGAGCAGGGCACGATATCAGCAGATGTCTTGTGAGCAAGGGGGCAGAAAATGGCCCTTGCTGAGACGACTGGAAATATGACTCTTTTTCAACCATTAGCTCCATTGACACAGCAAGATGCCAGCAGCTTAAAGCTCCCAGTCTAAATAATGTGGAGCGCTGGCAATTACCACAGCAGGATTCAGCAGCAGAGCTGCTCCAGCACAGCTGTTTTCTCATTAGAACCAGAAAGTCATTTGCACTCTGGGACTTGAAGCAACATCAACCACGATGCCAGGAATTTAAGTATCTCTTGCTTTTCTCTATAAAGGAGAAAATGGGAGGAAGAATTCAGGCAATCACTGCCAATTGGTCCATATGACGAAAGGGTACCTAGGACTGTTGATACTGCTTGGATAAAAGCAGTGACTTTATGAGACTACTCTTTTATGAAAATTATTGGTGAAGCACTGATAAATTGCTTAAATACGTCCTACATTTTATCACAGTCCTTCTTCTAGATGTACACTCACCTGTCAAGAGACAGGTAAGAGCAAGAGTATAGGAAATTGCCATGCATTTAGCTGACAGACAGGTAATCTTTGGATGGCAGACAGAAGATCGTTGAGTTTTACCTCCAAATGCCAAAAATTTGATCCTGGGATTCTCTAAATAAATCAAACAGATCATAGGTCCTGAATCTAGCCAATGTACTGTTGCATTACATGCAGAATTACACACACACACACAATTATCAACAATTAAGATGATAAAAGGCCTGAAGACAAAAACCTATGAAGAACAGTTGCAAGAGCTGGATATGGTGAGTCTAGAGAAAAGAACTTGATAGGGGTGAGGACAGTTAATCGGTGGAACACAAGTTGCCTGCAGAAGTTGTAGGTGCTTTTCATCGCTGGAGGTTTTTAGGAAAAGACTGAACGGTCTGCTACTTGAGTAGGGGGTTGGACTAGAAGACCTCCAAGGTGTCCCTCCCAGTTCTATTCCAATTCTGATTTCTGTTGTTATACAGCTTCCTTCCGCTTTTTTTCACAACATGACCCTAATTTTGATAGTCTTTCAGAGAATAAATAAGGAAAAAGTACATGTGGATAATTATTCAGGAGCTCGCAATATTCAATAGGGCTTGCTGCCTAACTATTTACAGCATAGCTGAGAGAAACCTGGGTCATTCTTATGAGCAGACCCCAGTTAGGCTTAAATTCTTAATTCCCCTATATTTTCATCAAAAAAACAAAAGCGTGGAATTCCCACTTTGGACATAAGGGGGCAACATTTTCTGTTGAACAACTCTTACCCGTTGATGAAATGTCTTTTGCCTGAATTTGGCGTGGCAGGAAGCGTAATCTGTTCTCTTTTACTGACCCAAGCGGTCTCTATGGGGAAATAGAGGATTCTGTTTCTGTTTTTCAAAATGGCTGGTCATCCAGGACTAAACTGTGGAACTCTTTGGCGGTGGAAAGGATGGGTGGGGGATAAGGCACAACTGGGACTTTGCTGGCTCTGAAGGAAGGGAATGTGATTTCAGTAGTTCATGAATGCAGATTTAGGGGGGTAGTTGCTACTGCAGTGAGAGCTTCATAATACGTTTTTAATGTTCAACGAAGGGGCTATAAAACATAAAGAATGAGCCTTTCCATATTTGAAAATCCCTTTGATTGGCAGTTTTATTATCTCTGAAAGGTGCAAGGCCTTCAACACAATCAACTTAAGGGTTTTTCCTATTATTTTTTTAATAGAGAAAATGATATTGCTTCTTAAGTCAAACACATAGCTAATTGTGTTTTAATAATTATTTTTAAAATCTTTCCATATTCCTTTAATATCCCAATATTAAACCAAATGATAACCGGGGGGCACTTGAGGACAGATGGATTTATGAAAGAGGCTTTGGTGTAATGAGGCTTTGGCGGCCAAACATTGTGAGGTTATCAGGCAGTCGTAATAGTCTGTGGCTTGGCTTACAATCCAAATATTCCTTCCAGAGCTGACATACCTTTCTGGTTCAATCAGCGGGACACATGGACCAGCAAAATTTTTGTTGATTTTCTGCTTTGGAAATATCTTGCAGATTTATAAGTAGCTGTTTGCATAATTTCCAGGCACAAATGAGCAAGGTTCCAGCAATTCTGGAAACCTGAAATAACAAAATATATTCACCCATCTTAAAGAACCAGCATAAATATGTATCTGTGGGCAGCCTGATTAAAAACACAGACCAGTTTGTCAGATTGTATCTAATAGTCCCTGGGGAAAAAATCGGACAAAACTGGACTGGTTTTTTGCCTATCTCCTTTACCATGTCCCATAGCAAAACAATACAAAATAATTCAGTATCATTTCAGCCTATATTGGGAAATGCTATTTAGCCAATAAGTGTCTGTGAGTTGCTTAACTGAGCTAGGGAATATTTTGCCTTTTCCTGCAGTTCCCAGCTGATTGACTGACAGGCTGACTATTATCCATTCAGTTGTTGTCAATTCTGAGCAACCACATGGATAAACCTATAATCATCTTATTCCTTTAATGACCCCATAATTCCTTGTGGAGTGGAATCTGGGCAACTGAATGGAGATGAATGTTTACTGGCCGGATGCCCTTACTGTCGCCAGTGCGGAGTTTAACCACCAGATATATTCTCATTGTGCCCAGAGAGAGAAATATCTGCCTCTACATAGGATTGAACTCACAGCCTCCTGATTGTGAGGTGAGAGCGCCACCTCTAGGCCACCGCACCACTCATAGATAGACCTTTAATAACCAGTTAACTTTTGTACTGTCCTCTATCCCTGGTACTGATTACACTTCCCTATGAAGCTGAGCCCCTGTCAACATTATCTATTTGCATTAGGTAAAGATTTGGCTTTTTATTTTCACATTTATGATAACATCCACAACCTGACAATGACTTTGTTCTTAAGCTTTGTTAAGTTTATTTCTGAGTGTTGGAAAGTACATGATTTTATTTAGCTTTGCTGTTTTGTCTTGTTTAGTGTATGAATCATAATCTACCATCATAATCTACCATTCTTTGAATGTGGGGTTTGCTGTAAATATTTTAAATAAATGGATGCCATAAGTCTTGGGAAAAGAGATTGCGATCAGTCTTCGCACAAATGTGGGTTTGAAGCAAGTTGAGGTATCCATGCTAGTGTTTTCAGTTCCACATCAGATCAGAAGGGATCTGATAGACAGACAAACAGAATAATTTTAGGAAGCAAGAAACTTACAGATTTCTGTGAGTTGTGGAGTCAGGTGGGTGGATTTGTATTGAAAGCAGAGAGATAATAGTCTACTGTTTGTAGACATGCACATTATCCCACTAAAAAGGCTCTCCTGCTATAGGTAAGATCAAGCACATAGCCCAAGGAAGTTAGGAATAATTTAGTGTTTTCATCTCATTTTCCCAATTTAATTTGAAAGCATTTGGGGGATTTTTTTTTTATAAATTTAAAAAATTAATAGTCTTTGTGCAGATATCCATAACGAATCCCAAATATCTTTTCTTAGTCCCACATGAAATAAAAATAAAAATGGAATTGTTTGTGTAAGATTCCACTTATTCAAGCAAGCTGGGAGGCACATGTTTGCGTCCAAGTTCTGTGTCGGAAGTAAATGTCCAGCTCTTTTCATGTGGTTTCTTTAATCCCCCAGATTCAATTTCGGAACTATTTTATAGTTTCAGTTTTACAAAGCAAAAAAAAAACTTCCTTTAATGTTGGCATTTTTGAAGAAAAAAGTCTTCAATCAAAACATGTGTGGCTCGGTTATTTTCTTTCCTTCTTCCTTCTACATTAGCCAGATGTAACATGTGGAGAAGAACAAGCTGAAATGTGCTGCTCAGGTCTTCCTGCCACAGTGACACAGCCAATACGCTCCTGTAGATTTGGCTGTATTTAAGGTAGAGTCCCTCTTCATAAGGAGAGCTGGCAATGACTTAACGTTAGTATGAAATTCTACAGCTGCATTGCTGGCTATAAATTTTAAATCCCACAAGGGCACCATTTTGAAATTCCTTCACCTCCCTACAGTAAAGACTCATTTGTTCTTGGGACAGTATGCCGTGAATGCGTGTGTGAGAATATTATTTTGTTTTCTGCTTCTTTTTAATTGCTGTAGGATTTTCTAAGCATTAAGGCCTCCTCCAATCACAGTATTTTGATGAAGGATACTTGGTGCTTTGTTATCTTGAAGACGTTTCATTACCCAACTAGGTAACATCATCAGTGCTAGAGATGATGTTAGCACTAGCATTGATGATGTTATTCTCCTGTATTGGGACAGTGTTATGATTTCATGTTAGACATCCAAATAAACCTTACTTTTATTGTCAGCGCTTCTAGTGAAAATGCTGGCATTACTTCGTCTAATAGTGAATGATTCTCTTCTCACAGTCCAAGGTATTCTCAGCTATTTCCTCCAGGCCAGCAATTTGGTTTTTTTTTTCTCTCTTCACCTTTCTGATGGTGGAGTTTTCCTAGTCATATTGTTATGTCTTCACTACAAGTTACTCTATGTGCAGCTCAACATGCAGCTAAAACCACCTATCCTTCAATAAAACAGAACATGTATGTATATTGGAATGCTTTATTGAAAGAACAGGATATGGCAAAACTGGGGAAAATAGGAATACATACAATAAGAACCAAATACAAGATAGACAGTATTTATTGCTGAACATAACAATTGATAAATACAAGTAGTTTAAATCTCACCAGTGATGCTCTGCATGTGGGATATGGGTTTGTCCTTGGATGACCATGTGGCACAGATTAAGGTGGATTCTTTTTTGCGCTCCAAATGCTAAAGGAAATGGAGTCTGGCTTCCTAGTGTGCAGTGCGGGCTGATGGGTGAGGAAGTTGGGTCAGCTTCAAACCATATAATTAGTAAATGTCTCTCTGGCCACAAGATGGGGCCAGGGAGCAATAACAGTATATAAAAGTTATATGCTGAGGCATGTCACATACATTACAACTGGGAAAGCCATGACTTTTATGATATTACCCTGTGGTCTAGCACAGCATGTGATACATATGGTAGGAAACTTATATAAGGGGAAACTCTAAACTGTTTTTCCAGTGTTGAACCATTTAATAACACCACAGGCCACCCTAGTTGTGGTTTCTACCTTGTCATTCAACTTCCCCAACACCATGGTGAAGTGCCCCAGTACACCCACGGCTTTCAAAAATGATTAGAAATTGAAATATTAAATATTTAAAGTCTTAAATTAATATTACAGCATAATATTAAATATTTAAAGTCTTATTTCTCATTTTTGTGCTTTAAAAGTAAACCTGGCACATAATTCAAAGCACAATTCTAGGATTTATAACAATATGTGGATTTATATTCCATCCAAAATTATGTACACAGATAGATGAGAATATTTATAACTCAGGGACAAACTGTGGGGTTCCTTGGTGCTCTCTGAGCTTGGTAGGTTTCTGGCAGACATTTCATTACCCAACTAGGTATCATCATCATCATAATAGCATGATATACATATCATTTTATGCGTAGATTTCAATTCCATGGGATGTTTGAAGCAAAATTCTCGGTTTTGACTTGATCTGTTGTAGCTTATAATTTCATGCAATGACATATACTATTATTGGCATCTGATTCTTTATCCTAGCTTAAAACTTAATAACAATCTTTTGTTATCTACACCAAAGTATTTAGTTTGATCATTCATAATTAATGATACACTGACACTATAAACCCCTTATTATTATTTTTTTTAAGATCCTTTGTTTTTGCTTTGTTGCATTTTCCTTCTTTTCTATTTGTCTTTGTTTATATACTTTACTTAAAACCTAGTTTTAAAAAAGCTCTTTCTCACCTTCCATAAAAACGATCTTTTGCCAGGGAATTAGGAAAATTTGGTGAGACTTGTGCACACAACGGATCATATTTTATTTGCTTTCATGTGCAATGTTTCTCTGCATGACAGCTCTATAAAAATCTTGGGACTCTTTTTTTCTCTGCAGTAGAAAAGCAGGGGGAAAAAACACAAACAAATGATTTTCTCTCTCCTTCCTGATGCCTGTTGTGGTTTGAGGATTGGGAGAGAATTGAAAACAAAAGTGACAAAACATTTCTCTCGGGGGTCTGTCTCATCATGTCCAGCTTTTTTTTTTTACATCCCACCCTTCCTTTTCTGTAAGATTTCATTGAAGTTGAATCTCCCCAATTGTAGAATTTTGTGTCACTTTTGGGGATGAGAAAGAAACGATGTTTGGGGAAGGGAAGCAAAAGAGAATTGCAGCTGCAAAGTTTCAGATGAAAAGCTAATCAAAGACAGCCCAGGCGGGGCATGGCTTTAATCTTTAATCTTCAAAGACACACAAACAAATATTGGTTGTGTACCATACAGCAGGGGGGCTGGCAACTCCCATCCCCACCAAAATTCACATAGTTAAGATAGACAGACAGACAGATAGATAGATAGAATTCTTTGTTGACCAAGTGTGATTGGACACACTTTGTCTTGGTGCAAATGCTCTCGGTGTACATAAAAGAAAAGATACATTCATCAAGAGTCAAGAATCATAAGATACAACACTTAATAATAGTCATAGGGTACAATAAGCAATCAAACCATACTAGGAAACAGTCAATATAAATTGTTAGGATACAGGCGACAAAGTTACAGTCATACAGTCACAAGCGGGAGGGGATGGGTGATAAGGAGTGATGTGAAGATTAATCGTAATAGCAGTGCAGATTTTGTAAATAGTTGGACAGTGTTGAGGGAATTATTTGTTTAGCAGAGTGATGGCGTTTGGGGAAAAACTGTCCTTATGTCTAGTTGTTCTGGTGTGCAGGGCTCTATATTGTCATTTTGAGGGAAGGAGTTGAAACAGTTTATGTCCTGGATGTGAGGGGTCTGTAGATATTTTCACAGCCCTCTTTTTGATTCGTGCAGTATACAGGTCCTCGACGGAAGGCAGGCTGGTAGTAATTGTTTTTTCTGCAGTCCTAATTATCCTCTGAAGTCTGTGTCTGTCCTATTGGGTTGTAGAACCAAACCAGACAATATGGTTGTTGTTGTTGTTGTTCTTTTGTACATTTCCAGGAGTAACCTCCATGAAAAAAGGCATATCAGAGATTGGCCATGTGTTTTTTGGTATCCAAGGCGGAAAATTGAAGGGAGGTGGAAAAAGGAACAAGAGGGTCACGGATAGTAAAGGTGGATGACAACCAAATTTATTAGCAGTTATATTTGAGGGCTATTTCAGTTAAATGTCTCTATTAAAATTTATGAGATGTGGATTTCAGTTTTGGTTGCCTCATTGCAGTGCTGAGGCAGACTGATTCTTACACAGTTCTCCTTCTCATTCTGTTCCCTAATCTCATTGCCAGTATTTACCAGTGGTGGGATTCAAACATTTTTACTACTGGTTTTGTTGGGCATGGCAGGAGAAGGATACTGTAAACTCCCATTCCCTCCCCACCCCACTAACCTGCTTTACAGCTCCGTTCTCCTGTGCAGGGCAACCCAAGGAGACCCAGCCGATCAGCTGGGACTCAATGGGAGGCGGAGAATAGATGGGGTTGGCGGGGCCAGTCAGAGGTGGGATTTGCCGGTTCTCCAAACTACTCAAAATTTCCACTACTGGTTCTGCAGAACCGGTCAGAACCTCCTGAAGACCACCTCTGCTATTAACCATACTTTCCCCCAGCAAGGTCAGCTATCTACAGAAACCTCCGTAGGTCTCCCTACAAACTGAGATTGGATCCATGCGCTAGCTTCTACCTAATGAGATAAAGCTGCTTTGGTCAAGGAAGAATTCAATTAGAAGGCTGGAAGAGCTATTGATTGGTGGGAGAGAAAAATATGTGCTTGGTTATTTGAAGCTCAGGAATTTAAAAAGTGTAACATGCCCTCTTACAGGGACACATACAGGAAACAATAATTAAGGAAGAAAAAACTGACCATAGAAAAAACTTCCCAGTCCTCTACTTTCAATTCTTTTTTCTTCCTACCAATAGACAACAAAGCAACAATTAGACCCTTATAACTGGAGAAGCCTCAGCATTGGTCTCTCTTTATCCTAGAGACGGTAGCAGGAAATGGATAGATTGAAGCCAAATGGGAAGCTTGACTCAAAACAGACGCAACTATTATATGGCAGTGGTGAGGCAGGGAATGCGTACATGTGTGCATATGTTTGCAGTTTGCAATAACACCTCATGCATCTGATGAAGTGAATGAAAGTCCATAAAAGCTGATGCCATAACAAATATGTTAGCTTTTAAGTGGCCACAGGTTTTTTTTTTCATCACCTTGGCAAATTAACCCAGCTGAGGTGATGATTATGTGCCATCAAGTTTGGTCTCCGCTTTTAGTGACCGCATGGATAGATAGTTGTTAGGGAAGAGTGATTGGCATTGAGGATCAAACCCAAACCAGGTAGCTAGAAGTTAAGTCAGGAGAAATGAGGAAGTCTGTAGAACTATTTAGTGCAAGAAGCTGCTGATGGCTGAGATACCAAGCACTTTAATGGTCCAAAGTAAATCCTGGAACTAAATAAACTAAAAACTAAAGGGGACGCTCAGTGGCTAAGACGCTGAGCTTGTCGAGCAGTTTGGCAGTTCGAATCCCTAGCGCGAATATTTTAGGACTTAGTTTTGGGCTTCTTGCATCCATATCCCACATACTGGCCACAGCCCCCAACTGGCTTTTAATATGCTTTGAATGCTATCAACTCCCAAGAATTCAGAGATGCTGGTATGTCACAGAGAATCTTGGGTAGACTATGGACAAGGCCTGTAATTTAAAGGCATGGCAGAATATCAATAAAGCTATTAGAGAAGGGAGGGTATTGTCTGGCCCAGAAAGTCATTTCTGGCCTCTTATACTTCCCCCATCAGCCAAATGAGATAGTAGTTCAGGAAAGATCTATAGGAAACAATTACAGTGGCCACCTGTCCCTGAGGGGCTGAAGATTCACCCCCCCCCCGCCCAACCATTGCTTATTGAAATCTCTGTTAAAAAGTACCTTTCCTGCTAAGCCTAAGTAATTTTTATCTGCTAATCTTATTCATTTATCTGCTGGCTAATATGCTGTTCCAATTGCTGAAGAGACCTTTTTTCACATGGTGAAGTACTTTTGTACGGAAAAGCATGGACACCACAGATTATGCATATACATATACATAGCGCTAGTCCTCGACTTACAACGACAACTGAACCCAAAAATCTTTTTGCTAAGTGAGAAAGGTGATCACATGACCCCAGGACACTGCAACCTTCATAAATATGAGTCAGTTGTCAAACATCCAAATATAAACCGCTTAAAAAGGGCTGTAAAGCACTGTAAAGTGGTATATAAGTCTAAGGGCTATTGCTGTTGCTATTGTAAGTTCGGACAGCCACTAAATGAACAAGTCGAGGACTAGCTGTAACTGTATAATCGCTTTATCCAGGTGTTTGCTTTTCTGTGGCATGGAAAGGGGGCATTTTTTTTCTTACGTAGAATGGCGGGAGGAGGTGCATGGAACGAAGCAATTCCTTTGTGGGGTAATCAGAAATCTAATAGAAAAAGAAAATGGGCGAGAGAACGTGAGAAACACACAGGCCTAAAGCAACCACCCAAGCCTTTTACTAGCAATCTTGTCAACGCTCTTGCAGTTTACAACTCTGTTTGATCCTCTAGGGGTATAGGAGGGTTAAGTTTCAGGCATGGTTTAGATTAAGCCAGTTGGGACTGCGGTGTTGACAGGCTTCAACGAGGCATACGGCAATGTGCGTGATCTCCCCATTCCTCCTCTAACCCAGAGAAGGCATTTGCCACTTGGCTACGTGCAAAAAAACACAGTTGGGGGAAAAAAAATTGGATAAGTGGCTGTATCAGGCTTTTGGGAAGTTAGAGTTGATGACTTCTACATCGTAGCTATGGCTTGACAAGCCACCAGGTAATCTACACCCGTTCTTGCCAATTTAGAAGCTCCCAATAAAATTACCAGCAGTTGTGAGAATTGCAATGTGGCTCGTGTGCCCGGCATCAGTTGTGGAAAGGATAATCTCTAATCGGCGTATTGCGCAGTAAGAAAGAACTAGGGAATTGTTCTTGTCATGTATAAAGCCACAAATGTACTTCCCAAAGCACTGTTTTGGATAGAATTGGCCCTCTCAACAGGGCTATTTAAGATGTTCGTTCCCTCCGAAATATAGCACTAATTTAGAATAGAATAGAACTAGAAATCGAACAGTTGAGCAGAATAGAAATAGAATAGAAATAGAATAGAACAGAACAGAACAGAATTCTTGATTGGCCAAGTGTGATTGGACACACAAGGAATTTGTCTTGGTACATATGCTCTCAATGTACATAAGAAAAAATAAAATACTTTTATCAAGAATCATAAGATAGAACACAGTGATAATCATAGGTTACTAATACGCAATCAAAACATACTAGGAAAACAAATAAAATAATATAAATTGTAAAGATACAAGCAACACGGTTATAGTCATAAGTGGGAAGAGATTGTCCCTGTATGCTGTGGACATAGTTAATTTGTAATTCTACATTTAGATTCAAATGTACATTTAGATTTAAATGTAGTTCTACATTTAGCAATAGCGCTTAGACCGCTTCATACAGTTCATTTAGTGACCGTTCAAAGTTACAATGGCACTGAAAAAAAGTGACTCATGACCACAGTTATGACTTTTGCAGCAACTCCATGATCATGTGTGATCAAAATTCAGATGCTTGGCAATTTTTCCACACTTATGACCATTGCAGTGTCCCGGGGGTGTGTGTCACGTGATCCTCTTTTGCGACCTTCTGACAAGCAAACTCAACGGGGAGGCCAGATTCACTCAACAACCAGATTGCTCACTTACCAATTGCAGTGATTCATTTAATAACTGTGGCAAGGAAGGTTGTAACACTGTTGTGGCTAGCCGGCAGCAGTGAGGAAGATGTTCCCGAGGAGCCTATGCTAGGTGTGAGTGAGAGCAGGATGATTCTTGAAAGAGCAGCACAGGCAACTCAGGAGTAAGAATGCTAATTAATGGCCCCTCCCTCCAGGGAATATAAGCCTGGTTTCAAACGGTTTTTGCCTTTGCAAAAGGCAAAAACGTTCGAAGGATTCAGTGTTGTGAAGACACTGGTTTATTTGAGGACTTCTGCCAAGGTTTTTCTTGTTGGACTAATTGGCTGCAAGCCATCTGTTATCTACAAAGAGGTTTATTTGTGGATTAAAGCGGTGAAAGTTTGAGTTTCTGAGTTTATCTGTGTTTGCTTTCGGGGAATTTGGCTGGGTCAGAACAAATATGGGGCAAAACTCACTTAGCAGATGTCTCACTAAGCAACAGAAATGTTGGGCTCAATTGTTGTCATCAGTTGAAGACTACCTGTATTTTCTATACGTTTCTTGCGAAGGGTTTTTTAAAAAGCAAAATCTGGGGAGGTTTATTTCCTAAGGGAAGAAAGCTTATTACATGCTTGCAAGATGCTGCAGGATTTCATGGGGGGCTTTGCATTTTTATTTGAAGTGATGCCAAACGTCTCCCTCCCTAAGCCAAGCTCCTCAGTGGAAAAAGTATGATTTGGACAGATGTGAATTCTGGCAGTTTAGGGGAAATACGTCTTTTCCCTCCCCGTGATTCGTGAAAACATGCTATTATTAATTAAGCCGCACGAATATTAAAAGGGTACCTTTCATTTTCCGGCTTTGGCCGCGTGCATCTCTTGTTCATCTCCTTTTGCAGAATTTTCAGTGTTTTTAACATCAGACTGATGTTAGGTATAATTACTAACTTTGCACCAAAATTATATTTGACATGGCTTGTGTGGGGAAATTAGAGCATTTCAGAGGCCGCAAATTCACCTGGGAAGACAAGCCAAGTAAAGACAAGGCAGCATAGAGTGGAAGTAATTTGAATATTACATGTGCCCTCCTGAAAATGCCAGAATCACTTAAATAGCTAGAAAGGATATTTTCCCTAATTAACCGCATGTGCTCGACGGTTCATCACAGCACTGCAGAGATGGAGGTGGACTATCCAAGCAGAGATGGCACACGCACACACATGCAGGGGGCAGTGGAATACTGACTGGTGGGAGGGAAACACACACGCACACGCACACGCACACACACAAATTGTGATGGGTTAATTGCCACCCCTGCAGCTGTTCGTTCTTCCAAACAGACATTTGTTTCTGCAGGGGAGAAGTCACGCTCTTCTAGCATCATAGTCTTATAAGTTGAAAGAAAACATCGCGAAGGTATTGGGTCAGACCAGCAAAATATTCAGAGGTGGCCCTACTGTAAGGAAATGTAATACCATGGGTTTTGGGGGGACTTTTGAGGACAGTAGAACAGCAGAAAGACCAATCCGATCCACAGGGGGGGGGGGAATTCCTTAGAGAGCCCCATTGCTAACGTCTACTGCTGATAGCACCACCACGTTCTCCTATGGCTCTGAAACATGTTTAGTTTTCTCAAGGCCCCCCCCCCCCCCGCCTGTGGCTTTGAGAAAAACCACACCAAGATCTTTGTGCTCCTTCTAATGCGAGAAAATCCACCTGCAACGAGTTCCGTCTCCCTCCTGCCATTACAACTCCTGTGGTTTCCAGTTCGTTACATATTCATTTTCTAATGCAATTATTAGCTTGTGGGGAAAGGAAAAATTAATAAAGAAGCTCTGATTAGCTCTTTACACCACATTGTTGTTGTTTTTTAATGAGGGGGTGGGTTAATTGGGTTCAAGAAGATCCTTGTGGGCAATGAGTTATTTTTTTGGTGGGGGGAGGAAGAGAGCTGGTTACCGGTGCAGCAATTGGGAATAAAATGATAACAATATTAAGCTGTGTGCACGTATAAACATACATGGTCAGTTTGTACCATAGTCTAGGTAGGGGATCTTCTGAGGTTTGACCAAGGGCGAAATGAGTAATTTCAGGAAGTCCACGCCTATTGTTCAACCCATTTGGGGCTTCCCATCACTTATACATCAGTTCAAACATCTACAGAACTAGCCACCCACATTTTAGCACGGGAATTTCTGCAACGCTTCAGGTTTTGTGCTTCATTGCATTACACACAGCCCCCTGTCGATTGAGTTAATTCCACAAACTTTCAGTTCACCATTGGTCAGCTTGTCATGCCAACATAGTTTACAGGAGTTGCACACAACTTGTTCTAATTTCCCGTTTCCAGTTTCATAGTGGAGGTCTGGCATCGAGATCGCAAAAATGAAAAGCGCCTCGGAGTTCCCCCTCACCCCCCCTCCGTCCCTTTTAAAATCGAACCGAGCCTCATCCAGTGTCCCACAAGCTCTGAATGAATCCTAAAGACCCGGGTGCAGTCAGGCCTCCGTGTTCCAGATTGCCACAACTAGGCAAAGCTAGGAGAGGGTGGGGGGGTGGGGGGGATGCAGGAGCAAGGAATTCCAGGCAGTTCTTATTAAAAATTCCTCCTCCTCTCTCCCCTTCTCATAATAACCCATGCAACTGCTCACTTCCATCCCTGACGTGCAAGAAAAGGGGAGGCGGGGAAGATTAACATCTCCTGCCAAATGACATTCATGAGGTGTGATTACTGGGTGATAATTACACTCCTTGCCACAGGGGCTCCCCCTCTTCCTCCAAAGGAGGAGTGTGTTTGTTGGTTCCTTCCTCCTTCCTTCCTTCCTTCCTTCCTTCCTTCCTTCCTTCCTTCCTTCCTTCCTTCCTTCCACCTTTGGTCCTATACCTGCTATGGACCAAAATTTCAATTGTCTGCGGGCTGCCTCTCTTTCCGAATCTTTTCTCAGCCTGGGCCTCCCCAGAAATGCTTCACCTTTCCTGAGAAACTTTTGGCAACATCATATTTTAAGATAGAGGGGAAATGTGGGAGATGGCTGCAACTCTTCTCTCTCTGCTTTTGGCTTGGCCCACGGATGCCCTTCTTCAGTGAAATAATTTTGTCCTCTACAATAAAATCCCACACATAATCATTGTAACTCTCCTACCCTTAATGTCGATCTCTGAAAGCTGTATTTAATGGCCTATCTAGCTCCTTGGAAAAGCTTGTTGGATTATTTTTCTGCATCTCTGAAACCGATTATTTTATTCTGGGTTAACTAGACCTCCCATTTGCAGGTCTGGAAAGGGAAGGGAAAAAAAAAACCCTGTAATAATATGAGTACCGAGTGTTTCAAACCATTAACAAATATTCAATTTGTTGCATATTTCTTATCTCTATCAACAAAAAGTGGAAACAACTTAGAACTGTAACTTGTGGATGTTATATAAGAAATAAAACATTATTTTTACTAGCTTTTTGGTTTTTCACTTTTCCTTCTCGTTATTTTCAGTCAGGTTTGCAAGGATGACAAAAGTGAAAGAAAGAAACAAATAGTCACTTTCTCGTGCTGGATGCAAAAAACGTGCAGTTTCCACTTTGCAACACTAGATGGCAGCCGGAACCCTTCTGCAGCAGGGTTCTGCAATTGAGATTCTGCTATCTTTAAGCAGTTTCTGCCGGCTGTGGGCTTATAAACGGGAACTTTGTGAATGGAATTCACCCCGCACACTGTTTTAACATCACCGTTTAAATAAAATTTATTAGCGTGTTTAACCAAAACGTTTTGCTGACCTACATTTTTGAAAAACGAAATATTCTTGCTTTTTAGAATTAGGCGTGTCTGTCATATTACACTACTTGTGCTATCTATTGGATTCCCATTCATTTCCAACAGCCAGTTCAAAAGGCTAGTGCTAACCTCAGTGCTTTGAGGCTGCAAATTTGAGAGAATGATCACTCTCTAAAGTCATCCTCAGTTGCTCTAGGTTTTCTCCAAACGAAATCCTCCAAATTAAATCCTCCAAACTGCAGTGGAGGAATAATCAGGGGGCAGGACTTTGGAATCTCCCTGTCTTCCTCTCCCCCTTGGCCCCTACTTGTTTAAAGACCCTTGGCGTTGTTCTGAATTAGGGCTGAATGTCTTGGTACTAAGGTTTTCCTAACAGCCTATCTCGAATGAGACATGCGGTATTAAAAACCTGCAAATTATTCTTTGGCTTGGCTCAAAATACTACCTTTTCCAGCACCCACTTTCCTTGTTCACCGTTCTTCAACAGTGGCAAAAGCAGTAGTGAACAGGTTGTTCTTATCTCCCCTTTGCCGATATTTTTGGACATTTATCTGCAAAAGCCAGCGATGCATTTTAAAATTAGAACATAAGTTTTCAAGGTGTTTTGGGGCAGGTTGTAAACAAGATGATCAGTGCAGTTAAAGAAGACATTAGAGTTGTTCTGTCCAGGTTTGATTGTGCATTTTTACCAGAGTAAAGGTAGCTTAGCACTTGTGGGATGGATCCAGCCTGAGAAATAATGGATTTTCTCTGCTCGTTGAAAGATCTGTCAACCATCCATCTTAGATTATTAGTGGACTTTCCAAAGCTTATATAGGTTGCATATACGGTATCTTGTAGAACAGCTTATGTCTCCTATCTGTTCATTGTTCCCTGACAGATTTGCGATAGAGTGGAAATTTTATTAAAATGGGGAGGGGGAAGTTGCAGTGGGAATCTCAGGTCAGGTTTATTACCTACAATGTTATAAGCAACTGAATATTTTGCTTATCCGTATTTTTGTAACTTTCCTTATATTTATTGATATTTTGCCCCTCCCTGGAGCCTTCCCAAATGCTTGTATCTTTCTAGTAAATCCACAATACGGTTTCAATCATTTTTGTTGTTTCGCTCATACAATGATTTCTTATTGAATATTAGAAACCATGTATTCCTTTGTAATTGAATTCATTGCATGTATTGTCTGTTCTGTGTTTTAAAAGATGTAGAATATTTTCCAGCAATGTACAACCCAGAGGGTCTTTATTCTGCAATATTTTTTTTCTCTCTCTCTTTAAATCCTTTCCAAATTAGCCCTTTCTCCCTTTTGCTCCCTCGTGGGCTTCTTCGCTCTTCTCCCCTCATGCCACGTGAAGTAACAAGAAACCAAAACCTGTTAAAATGCGGGGAAGACTTTTGCAAGCCTCTGCTTCCATCGTTCCTTTTCTGATTATCTTAGTGGGCAACATTTATATTAAAGCTACTCTGGCTCACTATCCCCATATACTTTATGGTTGTTGTGTAGCGTTAGGTGGGTTTTTTTTTTTTTTTGCATTTTCTTTTTAAGATAAAAATGACTGCTGATGCTTATGCCCCTGTAATACATTATGTATTATTTTGTTTTAAGCACTGTCTTTTGCAGGCTGACAGTAACAATAAAATGTGAGGATGGGATTTTTAATAAAGACAGAGTAATGTTTCCATGCATGCCACCATCCCAATCATTTCCTTCCCCCCCCCACTTTGCTCTTCTAAGCACTTTTCAAGAGGCTCCTTTTTATATTCCAAATAAAATTAGAGCAAAACATATTCATTTACTGGAAAAGAGAGTTGTTTGGGTGGTTTCTAATATCTCCTCCTCCTAAGTGTATTTTGGAAGAGAGCTATTTTGCCCCTTGGAGTAATCTGGTGGTGCCTTGTTTTTTTCCCCCCTCCCACCTTTGACTAAAAATCCTTCATATTCAAAATATCACCAACAGCAGTGAAAATAGAAATTGATCTTGTAATTTAACCAAAGCTTTACAACTGCCCTGTAAGGCTGGCCACTCCCCCGCTTTGCTTCTACAATATACATGATGTTACAAGATATACAGGTTGCTGGACCTTGATTTTTTCCCCCCCCCTCTGCTGGTTTCCTATCTCTTTGTTTATGCCTATTCCTTTATTTTGTTACTTTTAAGCACCTTCCTGTATTTTTCTGTTTAAAAGCTGAAAAAGGATCTGGTCTGGTAGAACTTGCTCATCCTCTGGGGGATTTGGAAGCTTTCGGAATCTGTTTTCCGTGCTTCAGGGATCTTAAAATTTCTGGGATGTCCTCTTAGTTAACAAACAGAAAACGATCTCATGATTACTCCGATTTAATAAGAGAAATGAAAAAGGCAGGAATGAAATTAGAGGATGGCAGGAGGATAGGAAAAAAATAATTCTTCCATGTAACTTCTCTATTAATTATTATATTATTATTATACAGCAGAAATAATAAAATACAGCAAAAATCAGGAGCCTGTGAATTATATTCCCATCCCGGCTGAGTGACTTTGAGCCAATCCCTCTCTCTTAGCCCAACCCACCTCAAAGGTTGTTGTTGTAAGGAATATAGGAAGAATACTAGACAGGCTCTCCACCGTCAGTTATTTATAAAAACAATAAAGGTGGGATATAAGTAAATAAATAAAAACAGGGCCCGCAGGTTGCATCTAAAGCTTTAAGCATGCAAAACAGCTATAATTTCTTATTCATGGTTTTTGTTTGAAAATACTTGCAAAAATTCAAGGAAGTCAGTAAGATTATCCTAGTGCCGCTTGTGGCTGACTCGCCAAATTTCTGCGTTGGCTTTCTTTATTTTATGATTATTGGCCAATTGGTTCAATCAATCGGTTAATCAGAATAGAGCTGGAAGGGACCTTGGAGGTCTTCTAGTCCAGCCCCTGGCTCAAGCAAGGAGAGCCTACATCATTTCAGACTGGTGACCATCCAGTCTTTTCTTAAAAACCTTCAGTGATGGAACCCACAACTTCTGGTGGCAAGCCGTTCCACTGGTTAATTGTCCTCCCTATTAGGAAGTTTCTCCTCCGTTGAAATTAATTTAACTATTTTTTGAACTGTCCTGTGGCTAGTTGTCTGGGGACAAGTTGGCCACGGTGAATTCTCCCATTCCGGCCCTTGGCCATGAATTACTGACTGCAATTTAGAGTTTACCACTTTCTGTAGAGTTATGTGCGCCATCATAAAAATAGGTTTAAGAGTACTTTGACAGCTTATGTGACTCTATCCAGTTTTTGTTAAAAAAGAAAACACCAACCCCTTTCATAATCTTGTTTCTCCGTTCCAGTCATTGGGTTACCAATCTGTTGATGACCACCTTTTTTTACACTCGTCCTGAGAGCAAAAAAACAAAAAAAAAAAAAAGCCCAAAACCCTGCCATGCAATTTCCAACCAAGAGCTTCCTTCCTATTTCTTAGTATATATGTGTTTATGTGTGAGTGTGTGCGTTTATGTGTTTCAAATAAATAAAAAAGGCATTTGTGTTTTGTGCACGAAGCACTTTTGAGGACGGCAAGGGCCCCCTGTAATATGGAGGTTTATAACCTCCTTGGCTAATGCTCCCTGACACTCCGTTTTGATATCATTACTACATTATACCCACCATTTTTTGAGTGAAAAAATACAGTACTTAGAGAGTCGAAATTCATAAATAAATTCATGTCAAACCGCACTTAATATTGATTTTGTTAGTGTTCAGATTCAATAATAAGGTACTGCGTGCATGAATATTTAAATATAATCATCATTTCTGCATCTCCTAATGGCCTGTGCTCTTCTACACTCAATTTAAACACAATTTAAAAACTATAATGTATTGAAAAATACTAGGATTTAGCAATAAATCACCATTGGGTAACTCCAAGCCTTTTATAGGAGGGCTGAATATCAGCCTCTCCAGGGGCTGCACAATTAGATTCATGTTTTTAAACTTCTCAATTATCCATATACCATAATTTTATGTGAAAGTTTCTTTCCTCTTCCACGCTGCCCCTTTCTTTACCATCTCAACCCCCCCATCCAGATTCCCTCCCAGTAGGTAGTAGAGAAATTGCTAAGTGTTCTTTTAGCTGGGTTAGTACAGTTTTTTTTAAAAAAAGAAAGAATCAGAGGTCACAATCTTTAAATTGAATTAGAGCCATAATCCGTGGAGGGAGAGTAGAGAATGCTGACTCACTCGCATTATTTGCCAGTGAAAAGGGGAAAAAATATATCAGCGAAAGAGATAAAATGACTCAAAACAAGCTTGTTATATACAGCACATGAATAGGAATCTCACACACCCTCTTTTAATATTTATTTAAAAAACCATTTTAGTCTGAATTAAGGGCATTTCAGGGAAAGTTGCTTCCAGGCAGGACTTTATAGTGAAATTACCTGGGGAAGAGAAACCCCTTCCTCCCAACATGGTCAGTAAAATGAGGTCAATACCCAAAGCTGGGTATGTGGAATGTGGAAGACTTTTTAGAAATAAGCAGCATCTTGAATTTGGGGTTGGGTGAATAATCGTCATTAATTTGACACCACACTTCATGAACTTAGTGTTGCTGTCACTGAGAAAGCTATATTACTTCTGCTGTGTTAACTTTATTTTTTTACTTTATTGTCTTTGCACCTCATACAAGAAATTAAACACCCATCTTCAGTGCACATCATGACCATGAAAATAAACACAAACACACATCCTTCACCCTCCCTCCACACATTGAATTGAAAACCTTGACACCACACCAACACTGCACTATACAGTAGAATTCAACAGAGCTACTGCCCTGGGATAGAAGCTGTTTTTCCGCCTATTTGTTCTTGTTTTTATTATTCTGTACCGTCTGCCAGATGGTAATAGTTCAAAAAAAAAGGGAAATTTGAGAACAGCATCTTTTCAACTGAGCCTGTGACTGAAATAGTTTCTGTGGTTTAAAAGCAATTTTAATAACATTTCTGCAAAAAACAAGCTATTGACATTTGGACTCTTTGAATGACCAGTTGAAGGGGCGACATTGCAAAAATATTAAAAGTTGAAATGTCTTTGAGTGTTAGTAGCTCGGGTTGATAGTTATGTTGTTGGTTTGAGCTCCGAGTTTGGCGATTTGGTTGCAAATATTTCATCCTCATTCGAGGAGATATTTTCATCTTGAATATTTGCAACCAAATCGCCAAGCTCAGAGCTCAAACCAACACATATTAAAAGTTCCTTGGGATCATATATTATCTTTTGGGTAAATCTATCGAAAATAACTTTTATTCCAAAAAAAAAAATGCCAGAAGAATCTTAGATGTTTTCCATGTCACATGACTGTGAAAATCAGACGGTTACTTCCAAGGGCATAGTTAATTCAAAGTGAAATTTAGATGTACCTGTATCTGTCAGAATTGAGACAACACATCTGTAGCTTGAATTCTGGTAGGAGACTTAATGGGGAAAAAAGACTTCAGGTAGAAGATAAAGCCAAAATCTTTACAATCTTCACAAATTTCTGCCTTCCAGGTGTGTTGAAATGCATCCAGAAGAGCCAATTGGCTGCCTTAAGATGAATCTTTTGGCCCTTGGAGACATTAGGGCCTTATTGCAGCCCAATTTTCCCTCTTGTCTCTGACTGTGATCTTTGGAGATTCGAAAAAGGCCTTTTCTAACCCCCTGTTGTAATATCCTTCAGATCAAATTGCTAGTATTGAACCTGAAACCTCTGTGAGCCCAGCATATGTTCTGTTGCCGAGCACAGGCTGTCAATCAGCGGGAGCAAAATTTACCCACCGGTGACACTTGAACTGGTAAGCTAATAAATCAGTCTGTCAACCTGAAAGACCGTTGCCAATGACCACTGTCCCCCAATGTTGCCCTTCCGGCAGGTCACTAATAACTCGGGGGTCACGTTTCAGTGTGCCACCATAGTGTGCTTCCCATTTCCCTTCCCCCGGGCTGCCCTTGAGGTTCTAAGGAAGTTCCTCTTTGCTTTTGAAATTGCGGCTATGAAAAATTGATCGCCCTTTGTTACAGCTTTACTTCTGTCACTTTCTATCCCAAGGTCTGTTTTTTATAGAAAACAAGCTACATTCATCAAAAATGACAGAACACAGACTTAATGTAATCATGTATGGAAACATGAATTGCAAATGTGGGACACAGGCACTAAAATGTATTTTCCATTACTGCCATAAAATGAAATAATCATGAACGTTTTCTCCACAAATGAGAACACACGTATACCAACACCTCTAGGAAGAAAAAAAAACATAGGGGGAAAAAATGCTACTCACCACCTACTCTATATCGGTCAGTGTGTAGTAGTACCTTAGAAGATTCTACTTTATAAGAATTGTGCAAGAACTATTTATCCATGCTTGGTACCAGAAGCAAAGACATCCAGTGTGTTCTTGCTCCACAAACTTTTTATACGCAGTCTCGACCTGCTGTCCCTTGACTTACGACCACAGTCGAGCTCCAACATTTCTGTTGTAAATCAGACATCCAGCCCTTGCTTATCAATGGAGACCGAGTGGAGCAGGTAGCCAGTTTTAAGTTTCTGGGTGTTACCCTAAAAGAGGACCTGATATGGGGTGCTCACATTGCAGCCCTGGTCAAAAGGGCCCAGCAGAGATTATACCACCTGAGACTTCTCAGGAAACAACAACCAAATGGAAAACTGCTGGTGACCTTCTACTGCCGCACCATAGAGAGTATCTTAACTTACTGCACCTCTGTATGGTTTGCCAATTGCACAGGGGCAGATAGGAAAGCACTCCAGAGGGTTAACGTCATTGCCCAGGGGATCATAGGTTGCCCTCTCCCCTCTTTGGGGAGAACATCCTTAAGAACATCCTTAAGAACATCCTCAAAGATCCATCTCATCCTGGGAACCCTTTTTTTGAACTATTACCATCTGTCAGGATAATAAAAACAAGGGCAAATCGGCTGAAAAAGAGCTTCTATCCCAGGGCAATAGCTTTGTTGAATTCTACTGCACAGAGCAGTGTTAGTGTCGTGTCGGGGGTTTTCAATTCAATGTGTGGAGTGTGAAGGATGTGTGTTTGTGTTCATTTTCATGGTCATGATGTGCACTGGAGATGGGTGTTTGATTTCATTGTATGAGGTGCAATGGTGCAAAAGGGGCGTGCATAAGTGCACCATCGTGCCTACAGTCCCTGTCCCGTTGTCCCCATTTATTTGTACCTATTTCCTGTATTCTTACTCATGTTTATACTAATATCTTGTAAGCGATTGCCAAATCAAATAAATAAATAAATAAAATAAATGACAATAAAGTAAACTAAACTAAAGTGAGACATCTATTAAGTGAGCTTTGCCCCATTTTACGACCTTTCTTACCACCGTTGTTAAGTGAATCACTGCAATTTATTAGTTAGTAACAAGTATGTTAAGCAAATCTGGCTTCCCATGGGCTTCGCTTGTCAGGTCACAAAAAAACCCCAAACAGCTGGATCACATGTAATATTTGTCACGACCAGCAGGGGGCAACTGAAGAAAGAGTTTTTACAGTCTCAGTGGGTTGGCCATATATATATATAGCCTTGGGCACCAGTGGAAATGGAGCAGAGAAAAATGGCAATTCCAGTCCTTTG